ACCAAAAGATACCAAATGATAAGGATGTGGAGAAAAGGGAACACTTATATATGGTCAGTGGGAATGCAAATTGGTACAATCACTATGGAAAACAGTATCAAAAAGTTAAAAATAGAACTACTATATGATCCAGCAATTCCACTTCTGTGAATATATCCAGAGGAATTGAAATCAGGATCTCAAAGAGATACCTGCACTCCATGTTGGTTGCAACATTATTTACAATAGCCAAAACATGAAAGCAACCTAAATGTTCCTCAACTGATGAACAAATAAAGACAATGTGGCATACATAGATTAATATATATATACACATATACAATGGAATATTATTCAGCCTTAAATAAGAAGGAAATCCTGCCATTTGCAACAACATAGATAGAACTGAAGGACATTTTGCTGAGTAAAATAAATAAGACACGAAAAGAGAAATACTTTTGCATACACAAAGAGTGCAATGCGCACCATCCGAGAGATGGACACACTTGAAACTCGGACTTGGGGGGGCAGGGGGGGGGCGGGGGGAAAGGGCAACATACATAACCTAAACATCTGTCCCCCCATAATATGCTGAAATAAAAAATAAATAAATAAATAAATAAACTGTAAAAAGAGAAATACTGCACGATCTTATATGTGGAATCTCAAATAGTCAACTTCCTATAAGGAGAGAGTAGGATGGTGGTTACCAGGGGCTGGAGGAAAGGGATAATAGGAAGGTGTTAGTCAGAGAGTACAAAGCTTCAGTTATGCAAGATGAATTAAGTCCTAGAAATCTACTGTATAGTATAATGCCTATAGTTAACAAAACTGTATTTTTTAAAACTCATCAAATGGTACTACTTAAGATTAGTGCTTTTATTGTATGTTCAAAGTAAAAAAAACTCTAAATAAATATTGAACTCCAGTTAACATATATATTCTGAAGTATTCTTTTTAGGAGGAAGTGTCTGACTGTCTAAAAATTACTTTGAAATGCATAAAAAAAATAAAATGCATTTATGGATAAATAAATACAGAAATATGTGACAAAGCAGGAAGAGTAAATGTTAATGGTAGAAGCTAAGTGATGGATATACAGATGATCACTGTAAAATTCTTTCAATTTTTCTGCTTGTTTTAACTGTTTCATTATAAAATATTAGGGGGAATTACATTCACATTGCTTCACAGAGGAAGAATTTCTATTTTCACACTAAATGTTTTTTATGGTTTTATGACAAATTCTGCCTTATTGCTTTAACTTGGAGCATGCTAAAGTATATGTGTGTGTGTATGTATATCATGTATTATATAATTCATGTATCATTTAGTTCATATATTAGATAGTTCATAGTTAGATATTAGATAATTCATGTATTAAATCAACCAGATAGAATCTCTTTGAAAAGATCTATCCTGGGATGTAGATATTAGAGATGGACACACTTGATTAATTAAGCTAATCCCAGAAAATCAATAAGATGCCATCTAATTAAATTACAAATCTTACCTTTGGTTGTACATGTCTAGGTGTAAGACATGACTGAAAAAAGAATCCTAAAATAAATCTCAAAGCATCAGAGCAGAAAACTTCCCATTAACATAGCAGGCTATTTAATATACACAAAAATTGTTCAAGGCTAACCCCTGAGAGCTGGAAAATCAATGCCAAAGTTTCACATTCGATTGTTATTTTTTAACATTAGAAATAAGGAAATGAGAGAAGGTAATTCATATGTTTGTTCCTGTTAATACTACAACAAACGTTGGAGTGACTTTGGAGGAGACAGTATTCCAACACTTATAATGGAGTCGACCATGTAGGGAGAGAACCTGGTCCCTCTCCACTCTTGGGTAGTGTCGGATTTAATAAATTTCCTTAATTTAAAAATACCCACAGGTCCGGACCTATGAAAATAAATCAGGTAATGGAAAAATTATAAATTGGAATTTGAAAAGTTAAAACGCAATCCATAAAATTAATTCCATACTTCTTCAAGGTGGTTCTCTTTGACATCAAGTTCACTATAATATTAGTAAGTCCAAGGAAGCCTGCTAGAAAAAAATCACAGTGGTAATAATTTTATTCTCTTGGCACATTGGTTTCAAATTCTACCAAAGAGTTAATTATTTTTTTCTGTTCCTATAACAACCAAGTTAAAAAAAAAAAATCCCATGTCCTTCAAAAGGTATTGAATTTTAAAATGAGTGATTTCTTCCCAGATCTGTTTTTATTTGAATATTGACTTTGACTGCAGTTTCTTTCTTTCTTTGTAAACTTCAACTTCTTACTACTTGAATGTTTGAAAATCACAAACTATTTTTATAAGAAAAAAGCCACCCTTGTTTAAAGACTAATGCACAGTTACCCAAAGTGCTAATTTTATATGTGGCATACTCACATAAGAAATAAAAGCCCAACCAGGGCAGGATTCTGTAAAAAAAAAAAAATGCTGCTTTTCTATGTCTATTCCACATACTAAAATAGGTAGTCAGAAACCACTAAACCTAAAGGCCCCTCTATAACTGGATATGTTCTTTATATACAGGACTTTTTTTTAAGGATTCAGTGGAAATGCCTGATCTAGACCATGTTATCAGAGCTACGTGGAGTATACCAAATAGTATGCCTAACTGCACAAAATTTACAAAATACATATACAATTTCATCTTAGCTTTCAATGGGGTTACTTCCTGATAAACCCATTATAATTTGAAAATATCATAAGCCAAAAATGTATTTAATACACCTAACCTATTATACTAAATTGCTTAGCCTAGCCTACTTTAAACATGCTCAGAACACTTACATTAGCTTACAGTTGGACAAAATCATCCAACACAAAGCCTATTTTGTAATAACGTGTCGAATAGCTCATGTAATTTATTGAATACTACACTGAAAGTGAAATACAGAATAACTACATAGGTATTCAAAGTACACTTTCTACTGAAAGCATATTGCTTTCGTACCATTTTAAAATTGAACCATATTAAGTTGGGGACTATCTGTATATATGCAGTGGGGTTGTAATACTAACTTCCATTGCCACCTCACTGTGGACTCCATGAAACCCTTAGCCAAATGTAGCTAAGAGAATTGTCATATGTGCTGTTCTAGTCTTTTTTTTTTTTTTTTTTTGAGACAGAGTCTCACTGTGGCGTCAGCCTAGCTCACAGCAACCTCAAACTCCTGGGCTTAAGTGATCCTCCTGCCTCAGCCTCCCGAGTAGCTGGGACTACAGGCATGTGCCACCATGCCTGGCTAATTTTTTCTATATATATTTTTAGTTGTCCGATTAATTTCTTTCTATTTTTAGTAGAGACGGGGTCTCGCTCTTGTTCAGGCTGGTCTTGAACTCCTGAGCTCAAACAATCCGCCCGCCTCGGCCTCCCAGAGTGCTAGGATTACAGGCGTGAGCCACCACGCCCGGCCTATCCTAATCTTTATCAAATTCTTCTCTCATCCTCTTCCTATCTGGGCTGTAATGATCTCCCCCTTTTCATTTGCAATTGCTCAAGTACAGAAACTTTATCAAGTATATTTCTGAGCATACTTGGTTTTCTTGAATACTAAATTTCTAGAAAAAGTACTCATTGTACCCAATAGTAATTTTCCTGTTAAGATGGAGCTCAGTTCTCCAGTCTCTGCCATGGTTTATATATTCAATACTATAATAAAATGTGGATAGAAAAATAAAGGAGGTATTTATCTGTTTTATTTCCCATTATTAAAAACAATTGGATCTAAACTATAAAAGGTTGCATAAATATACTTAATCTCTATAATATTCCCACAAATCACTAGTGTGGTAAAGATGGCCTTAAATTGTTTTGCTTTTCCTCTAATTGAGAAGTAGATTCAAATTTCTCTTCCCTTGAATCTGGGTTGGCCTTAGTGACTTGCTTGACAAATTAATGTGGCAAATATAGCTATAAGACATTATAGGACTTCTGAGTTATGGGAAACCTTGCAGCTATTGCCTTGGCTGCTATTGCTCTGGGGAAACCAGCTCCCATGTAAGAAATCCATCTACCTTGAAACTGCCATGCTGTGAGGAAGCCCAAGCTAGAAGCCCCAGCTGTTCCAACCATCCCAGCGCAGGCATAGACATGTGAGGTAAGAAGCTACCTTGGGCATTCCAAAAAGCCATAATGTGGAGAAGAACAGAGGAACCTTGCCAACAGTCAGAATCAAGGTCCCAGACATTTGACCTAAATCAAGTCTTCCCAGATATCTCCAGCCATTCGAGTCACTCTGATTGAAGGCCCAGTCATCATGAAACATAAATGAGTCATCTCTGCCGGGCCTTGCACAAAATTCTGACCTGCAAAACTTTAAGCCTAATAAAAATGGTGATCGTTTTATACCACTAAATTTTGGGAACAGCTAGTAAACATCTTCCTCGGGTTTAATTCATTGGTCATTTCACAGTGTTTAGTAAGATGTTTACATTGTCACACATGGTGTTTGCCCGTGCTGCCTATAGAAAGAAAATCTTCATCAGGAGGAAATTTGTTATAATTTAGTAGTACTCTATGCTCCCAAGCACAGTAGTATTTGCCCATCAATACATGAGTGAATTAATAAAATGTGGTATGTGTATACCATGGAGTTCTACTCAGCCATAAAAAGCAATGGTGAACTAACACCTCTTGTATTATCCTGGACGGAGCTGGAGCCCATTCTTCGAAGTGAAGTATCACAAGAATGGAAAAACAAGCACCACAGGTACTCACCAGCAAATTGGCACTAATTGATCAACACTTATGTGCACATATGGAAGTAATATTCATCAAGTGTCAGGCAGGTGTGAGGAGGGAGGAGGGGATGGGTAAATTCACACCTAATGGGTACAGTGTGCACTTTCTGGGGCATGGGCGTGCTTGTAGCTCTGACTCTGGCAGTTCAAAGGCAATATATGTAACCAAAGTGTTTGTACCCTGTAATATTCTGAAATAAAAAAAATAGTAATAAAAAAAGAAAAATGCAAAATGTATATCTTCTCTTTTTACAGGTATTTGAGATGTTATTATTGGGCAGTTCGAAGTTTAATTACCATTGGGGGGCTTCCAGAACCAGAAACTTTATTTGAAATTGTTTTTCAACTCTTGAATTTTTTTTCTGGAGTTTTTGTGTTCTCCAGCTTAATTGGTCAGGTAAGTTGAGTGTGAATTCCTAGATACATAGTGCTGTCAATTTTTGAAAGGCTAACAAGTCTTTATAAACTTTATGGAGGAAAAACTTACATCTGTCATGTTCTTTTTATTTTTTTAACTAACTTTCATCTATTTTAATGAGTTGAAGGAGGGTGTGATTGGGACAACAGTACTTTTCCATTTTTAAACCATTAAATCTATCAAAAGACCTGTCAGCAAAGAGCATTACTTTGAACTCTCAGAGAAAGTTGTTTCTAAGTTAACTTTTCACTTAGAGGTTCCTGAAAACCATTAAAAGCTCTCATTTACTTAAACTTCAAATATTGTCATAAATTCACTAGGTTAAAATCAACTTCAGAGGTCATTTAAACCAGAGGCTGTGAAATGCCATCTAAAGTAATTAATAAATCATTGTTTCACAAATGTTTCTTATAGCATCTCCTTGTACTCATTCTCAAAAAATCAATATAGTAAGAAAATAAAACAAATACATAAATAATTATATTAAAGGTAGTTAGCATTGACAAGGGATAGAGCCCAAAATCTTTGTGGATTTCCGGAGTCACAAGAAAGAAAAAGTTTGACAGCATAGCATCTTTAGAAGTTATGCTTCTTTGGAAGGAACTTTACATACTAAATGCTAGAGAGCAAAAAAAAAAAAAAAAACAGGCCATGTTGAGACATTTGTCCCAGGTGACGGGTTAGGCTAAATTATGAAATGATTATTCCCACTAGAGAAATTATTGGTTCCCGCTCACTGACTCTTGCTTTAACAAAATTTAACAATAAAAACTATTCTTTATGATATTTGAAGCTGCTCCCAAATAGTCAAAACTCAAATACTACATCCGTGAGCGTCAAGGGTGAGCTATACATAGGAAGCACTGGAGGAGAGTTTGAAAGCTCTCTATTAGTTCAGAAAAAGGAAGTCTCCCAGGAGCTTTCATGGAGGAGGATACATTTAAAACAGCTTTAAAAACCAGGTAGGATTCAGTAGTGATGGATAGGTAGCTCAATCAATTCAAAACGGTGTGTGAAAAGATGGCCACGTTAAAGCATAGACATGTTTGAGGAAACAGAAAGAGTTCCAGAATAAGCGGAGTGAAGGACACTTGTAAATAAGAGAAATATGTAAGGATAGGATATTTTAAGGGCTCTGAAAGTTAAATTAAAGATGTTGAACTTTATCTTGAAGGCAATGGAAAGTCAGCCAGGGGAGGATGTTGAACGAAGAAATTCAAGGAAGATTAATCAAAATGTAATGAATTGGAGGGGGTGATATTGTTTTAAAATATAGGTTTTATTATTATTTAGGTATGGTAAAGCCAACAGATCAGGAGACAACTGCCACTGAAAAGGTAGTTTGTTATACTCACAGATCCCAAGAGGAGGCAGTACATACCATGCAGGGGGCTAGGAGGATGTTACATGGGGAAGCTCCAGGGGAGGAACAGACCAGGCAGGGTAAGCAGGCTTAGGGTTGGCTGCTTTGAAAAATTTCCACAGGCTCTGGAGTATAGGGGCTGTCTCTAATTGTCTGGTACCAGGCGATGGGGGATGAGGCAGGAGGACAGTGGCCTGAATGTGGGAGCCCACATGAGAGCCTGATACAGAAGGCAGTTGGGGGTATGGGTGCTGGGTTAGTTAATTTGCCTACGAAAGACACACTCAGGAGAGGTGGCCACTAGTTAACGAATTACTAGCTATCTAGTAATTAGCTAACCCTAAGCAAGGCCCTGGATCAGCAAGGCCCCAGATATTAACATATCAAAATACAGAAAATTAAAGCACAGTTAATACAGATACACAGGGATTTGGCAACTCCAGCCTGGACAAGTTAGTGAAATGGAGACAGAGGCTGTAAAGAAAACTCTATTTAGAAAATATATAGGTTCGGGAAGATGAACACCAAGAGTTAACAACTTTAAGTATAAAATATCATAATCATAATGGCTGGGGAGATTGTGTTAACAATCATCGAAATAGGAAGCTCGTTTTAAAGGAAATCAATTGAGATCAATTTGAATGTAAAGAGCAAAAATCACATTATGTCATAATTTCTCATATAATCAATGTGAGGTAGTCACATCACAGTCAATGTTTTCTCAGTTTTGCAGATGAAGAAATTCCAGTTTAAAGAGATTAAGAGGCATCCCTGATTTATACATGCAGTTCATACAGTCATAAGATATAGAACCGTATATAATAATGCTGATAATAACAGTAAAATCTAACATGCACTGAGCACTCTATGTGCAGGGCAACTTTTACAAGACTGAAGAACTATATTTAGCACCAGTTCAATTGTCTTGCTACTCAAAAGTGTAATCTGTCAGCCCATAGCAGCAGCAGCATTTGAAAAATTCGGAATTCAGGACCTACTGAATCAGAAACTTCATTTTAACAAGATCTTCAAGTGATTCATATGCACATGAAGCTTTGAGAAGTGCTGCTTTATACGTCATATCACACCTGCTTTTAAATTGAATTTGAGGTTCCAACAGGAACAAGAAGAAATATCAAGTCGCTGAAAATGTGGTAGTAGAGCACAAGAGAAAGATTGAGGCTGGAGGTACAGATTTGTGCCTTAAACTCTCACAGTGAATAAAAGATGCTGAGAAAGGGAACAGACAGAAACAACAGTAAGACAGCCTGGGACAAAATCTCCCCTCTTTCAAAATTCCCACATATAGCCACACTAATGACTACACCCTGGAACTAATCATCACATTTTAACTGCCACATTCTATTCTCTGATACAACCCGCAGAAACTGACACTTTTTTGCCCTCATACCCCCATGTGCTTCCCTAGCCTGGAACCCAGCATGGAATGTACATCTTCCTCAACTCCCTCACCAGCAAAACCTAACATTACTGAAGGATAGCACACAAACCATTCAGATTATTGTCACTACACATTCTTGGGTCCTCAACACCAATCAATAATTCTCTTAATTGTTCTTGGTTCCCAATTTAACGGTCTCTTAAATCTTCCAACCCAGCCCCTAATATCCCAAGTCTCCCAGTCTCTGGTGATAATGTAGGCCATCTGCCAAGAACGGCATGAAAAACAGAGACCTAGGGATTGACATTGTTGAAGAATATTTGGAAGAGCCACTTTGCCACTAAGAAGTTAGAGGCTCAAAAAGACGTATACAGTTGGACTAACCACATAGCTCCTCAGCAGATACTTTTGATAAGTAGAAGAACCTTTTGACTCTGAAAATGGAAACTAAGGAAGACTTACAATAAAAGAGACATTTAGGCTAGACCTCAAAGAATGAGTAGTTTTTCCATAAGCAGAAAAGGCTCAGCAGCTACTAGAATGAATGAGTGAAGTCTTATGAGTGTGAAAGTAAGGCCCTGGTTTTCCTCCCTATTATAAACCCACAGTCAAAGCAAATTTATAGTCACTTGCTTCCCTCTATGTGAGAGGAAGAGTGGAGCTATATATCTTTTTTGTGCTGAGACCTTAAAGATCAGCTTTTAACCTAGAGTGGGTTTTTATGGTTGAGTTATAAACATCCAAGAACTAAAACCTGACAGTTTCTTAAGAATTGTCACAGCAGTAGATGATGCTTCAGTAATTTCAGCACATTTCAACTTCTGCTGAATACTATGCCTTAAGCATGATGAAATTTGATTTTATCTGTCTAAACAACACAAAGAGAAGTACAGAGGTTGCAATTTCGTGATGAATTGAGTCTATATAGCCAGCCACACTGGATAATCTATGAAGGATGATTTCAAAGTGAAACTCACCAAAATGGACTAGCCATTCTGCCAGATAATTGCTCAACTTCTATGGCACTTTCCTTGCATAAGCACAGCTGTATAATTTTTAAAATATCTACTAACATTTTTGCAATAATATATAAGTTGGCAAAGAAAATTACGTGCAGTCGTATGCATTTTTTGTTCCTGAATCCTCACAAAAATCTCACGTGGTTGGTCCAAAAGGTCTCCTTGTTGTCCTTATTGGGTCAGTGAGAGAATACAATCTACCCTGTATTTTATGGAAATGGGTGAACTTAGGCCACAATATCGGTGTGTTTAAAATCAAGTAATCAAGCCATTAGGAGGGAGTGTATCAAGTGAGAACACTTAATTCAACTTTTATTAACTCTCCCAGTTCCTTTGCTGGGTGTGGAGTGACCTTATTTGTCATTTTTAGATGCGAGATATAATCGGGGCAGCTACAGCCAACCAGAACTACTTCCGCGCCTGCATGGATCATACCACTGCCTACATGAACAATTACTCCATTCCTAAAAGTGTACAAAAGCGAGTTCGGACTTGGTATGAATACACATGGGCCTCTCAAAGAATGCTAGGTAAGCATGGCAGATTACTGATTAAATTCCTGTAAACCTAGTCATATAATAGAAATTCCATAAGGTAGCAGAGACTAATTGGATTTGAACAAAAGATTGAAAAGCAATTAAATGATCTTTAAAGCATTAATTTAATACCATGGGATTTTATTTCTTAAATATGGAGCCCTATCTTACTGGTTACATAAACTTTGGAAGAGAAAAGGCTAAATTTTATTCAATGCCTACTGGATGCTAGGTGTTACACACATTGTCTTATATAGTCGTCACACAAACACAAAAAAAGGGATCAGGAAAATTCAGCATCACCTATCCCTTTAAGAGACGAAAAATCAGAGGCTCCTGAGAAATCTGGCCAAGGACGTAGAGCCAACAAATGGTCTAAATGGAACTCAGACCTGCATCTGTTTTCTTCCAAGCCCTTGCTCTTTCTGTGACATCACTCTCTTACCCAGAGCACGGTACAGTTAGCCCTTGAACAACACAAGAACTAGGAGCACCAACACCCACACAATAGAAAATCCACATATAATGTTTGGATATCCCAAAACTTAACTACTAACGGCGTACTGTTGGCTGGAATCCTTGCCAATAACATAAACAGCCAATTAACACAAATTTTGTATGTTATATGTATAATATACCATACCCTTACAATAAAGTAAACCAGAGAAAAGAAAATGTTATTAAGAAAATCATAAGGATGAGAAAATACATTTGCTATTCATTAAGTGGAAGTGGTTCATAAAGGTCTTCATCCTTGTAATCTTCATGTTGAGTAGTCTGAATAGGAGGAGGAAGAGAGGAGGTTGGTCTTGCTCTCTCAGGGGCGGCAGAAGTGGAAGAAAATCCTTAAATACGTGGACCTGCATCATTCAAATCCATGCCATTCAAGGGTCAATTGTGCTAATAAAGAGCAGCAACCTTTCAGGCCACCCCATCCTGCTACAGGGTGCACAGTTGCTTCTACAAGACCCTAAATAGTTAATGGTGTCTATTATTAGTACCATACCACTGGAATTTAAAATAATTTTTATTAAAGGATATAAAATAAGTTCAAGACAATGCACTAGTTGACAATAATCAAATTCAACTCTTATAATAATTTGTTCCTTACCATATAAAAACAGGAATTAGTGCCACTAAGCAGCCAAAAAGGCTACTGCCTCCAGAATGCAAATGACAATGAGATTCTCCAATTACAAAGGTTCCTAGGACCACACAGGAACCACTTGGTTGTTGATAGTAGGACCTTTTCTTCACCTTTCTCCCAATCTTCAGAGACTCCTGCCTCATGTTTAGAACCTCTTCCTGAATGACCAAACAACATGCCTCTCTCTTGAGCACTTACAGCTACTTGAGGGCATTTGAAGTGGGCAGGAAAAGCAATGATAGGAGTGGTGTCAGGCTTCTTCCCTCACTCCCCTTAGCAGCTGTAGATACTGACCCAGCTCCCTGGCTTAGAACATAACTAGAGACAAACAACCCTCAAAAACAAGGGTCTATGTTTTTACATGGAGGATTTTTATATTTATAATCTGTATTGGAATAAAAATAGGGATATAATAATTTTTCTCTTTTCCAAATAATCTAAGAAAACATCAAAAATAATCTACTTTCAGAAACCCTTGGCACACTAGACATTAATAACAGGCAGTTTTGTTTATGGAACATTTTATTAGCCTGAAGGCCCATCATTTAATTCACATTTAGAAAAACCTGTAATGTATTCACATTCTTGTTATTAAGCAAGTAAATAACAATAATTTGGGTTTACTCACTTAGCACATTTCTTCTTTAGATTCCATGCCAACTGAGCCACCTACCAATTATGCACAATCAAACAAGTCACTTACGGACTCTGTGGGCTTCAGTTCTTTTTGTTTTTCTTCTTTCTGCAAAGTAGGAATAAAAACACTCACCCTTAGGGTTGTCACGAGGCTCAAATAAGAAAATGGGTGTGACAGAGCTCTGCAAGCTTTCAGATTCCACACAGTGTGAATTATTGTTGGCCATCATCAGGGTGTTAGGGCTGGAATTAAGACAATCAGGAAACAAGAACTAGATTCTTCTCCCATCTCAGCTCCTTCACTAGCCTTTGGCCTATGATCATTAAGTTTCATATATTAAAGTTTCAGCATGCATAATGTTCTGGAATTATTCAATACATCATCCAGAGTTAAAATACTCATTTTCTCCCCTGAGCATAGTAGTGTTATTGTAATAGGTAGGTACGGCCAATAGAAGTAATGAAGATAGAGCATTCTATGTGTCTGTTTATGTATAAAAATTGTTTGCATCTTGTTTCCTTCATTTTTTCAATTTTTCTACTTATATTTTGGTGACTTATTTTGTTAATTATTCTGCTTTTGGGGTTGACGTGCTTATCTTGCAAAGATGAGTCCGATTTGCTTGAGACCCTGCCAACTACAGTACAGTTAGCCCTCGCCATCGACATGAACTTCAGCATCATCAACAAAGTTGACTTATTCAAGGCAAGTGCTTTTACCACTAGTAGAAAGACAGTATATCAACTCCTCTGAGAAATCTAAGCTTTTTCTTTATACGGCATTTATGATTTTTGTTGCCTTATACTTTAACAAAGTCAAAACAACCTAGAGAATTTATGTGGAATTAAAGAGTCAAACAAATTACAGGTCTCTCTTCAGCAGATGACTTAATCTTTAGAAGCCTCTCTCTTCTAACTGATGTCAAAGAAGAGTTCTTCAGACTCTTATTGCATTCATTTAAATATAATTAAACTCTATAGCTCTATGTCTTTGCTAGAGTGTGTGTCACCTCCCATTTATGAATGTGCCTTGGCAATGCATGAGAAATCAGGCCCTAGATTAGCTCCGGATTGGCCTGACAGTCAAAGAATCATGCCTAATCATGTCTCCTATTACAGATGCTTTGGATTTAGACTTTTAAAATGGTCAAATTTAAACTTAGAGACTTCATTTATTTTAGGGAAAAAATGTATAACAAAGAAATTTCAAAATTTTGAATATTTTTAATTTTAGTACTCTCTTTTTTTAAACATATAGTGCTTATAACTTTTTCTCACCTAAGATTTAATTGTATGTGGCATTCCCTGATTCATCTGTTCAGTTAATTGAGGAAACAAATATTAAGTTCCTACTATGTTTCAGGTACCATTTTAGCCACTGGGAATACAAAAAACAAGTACAGAAATGGAGCTTAAATTCCAGAAGAAGGGAATGAAAAATAAATACATAACGTGTTGTGGAGGTGATAATGCCATGAACAAAATTAAGCAGATTGAGGAGGATGAGGGTGTCACTGGCCATGAAAGGCCTCTTTGAGGAAGTACCTTTGAGCACCTGAACAGAGAACTGGGGGAAGCAAGGGAGTAAGCTATGCAAGTGTGGGGAGAGGAGGGGGGTTAGGGGAGAAAAGAGAATATTATAGGAGGGTGGATGACATGAAGCCCTGAGCTGGGAACACACTGCAAGGAAGCCAGAGTGGCTGGAGCAAACGCAGAGTGATATAAGCAAGAGTAGTCAGAGAAGAGTTTAAAAAAGGAGGCAGAGGCAAGGGGCAAGTAAATGGAGGTCCTCGGAGGCTGTAGTGCAGACATTGGACTACACTCTGAGATGCAAAGACACTGAGGATCTTGAGCAGAAAGTAACCCATTGAGACTGGTTTGGAAAGGGTTATCCTTCCTCTATGCGGAGAATAAGCAAGGAGGTCAAATGGGAATTTTCATAACCATCTGCAGAAGAGATAGTGGTGACCAGACCCAGGGTTGTCAAACAGTTATTGAGAAGTGACCAAATATTGGCTACATTCAAGGAAGAGGCCATAGTTTTTCCGGTTTGATTATGTGATGGGGGCAAGAGAAAGAAGGAGACCATGGATGACTCCAAGGATTTAGGACTGAGGGACCAGAAAAACAAAGATGTCATTTGCAAAATAGGGAATTTTAGATTAAGTTTAAATTTCGTCTTTGTCTTTGATTGTTGCTATGGTTTGAATGATGATATTCCCTCCAAAATTCATGTTGAAACTCAGTCCCTAATGAAACAGTATTAAAGGGTGTGACCTTTGGGAAGTGATTAAGTCATGAGGGCTCCACCCTCATGCATAGGATTAGCACCCTTATAAAAGAGCTCAAGACCAAGGGAGCACTCTCTTGCCCTTCTGCTATGTGAGGACACAGCATTCTTCTCCTCTGGAGGATGCAGCAACAAGGTGCCCTCCTGGAAGAGAGAGCAGCCCTCACCAGACACCAAACCTGATGGTGCCTCGATCTTGGACTTCCCAGCCTGTAGAACTGTGAGAGATAAATTTCTATTACGTATAAATTACCCACTCTGTGGTATTTTTTTTACAGCAGCACAAAGACAGATGTGTTAGTTTAAGGTAAGTGTTAGACTTTCAGATGGAAATAACATGCAGGCAATATGGTTTATAAATCTGATTTCAAGGGAGAGGTCCATGCTGGAGCCATAAATGGACCTATCAGCATATTAATGCATTTTAAGCCATGCTACTGTATGCAATCACTTACGATGCAAATATAGAAAAGAAAATGTAATCCAGGCAGAAGGATATGTCTTGAAAACAGATAATCAATACCACTGGAGACAAGATGAAGAAGCAGAAGCTGTGTGGGAGAGTGGTCAGGTATAGCCACTCCCAGCACTAGGTTAACCTGTGACTCCATAGAATACTAGAGTTAGGTCGGTATCTTAGGACTCGTTTCTTGATTACGTCCTGTTACAGACGTCCATCAAGATTTTGATGA